GATTTATCTCAGGTGTTTCTTTCTCTCAACTCGGCGGCAGATCAGCGAAAAATGGTACGTTTCTGGGGATACCTTTTGGTAAGAAATCTAATGTTAAGGGAAGGGTGACAATCTTGCTGGTTTTTCGGGAGGACATTTGCGTAGGCTTGTACTGGAAATGCGATAGGGCCAGAAATTATAGAGTGTGCTGAAGAGGTGATCCACAACCTACGTAGTGCCAAGTTTACGCTGCGTGTCGTTTTATGGACATCAAATGAGGGCTCAGGGTGGGGGTTGTAAGGATAAGCTCTTTATCTCCTCAGTGGAGGAGGCAGAGGTGCACTCAGGAGTGGGTGGAAGGTGATGCCATGGGCTACTACTTGGCAGTAATCACGTGGTCTGGTATAATTTGTCATTGTATCAGAGAGTTTGAGCACCTAGGTGGCAGATGAAATCTGGATAGCCTTCAGAAATCCCAAATACTGTCTCTCACATAGGATTGTCTCAGTGGTCACATAACTCAGTGTAGGGATAAGTACATTTTACAGTGGACTTTGGTGTGGTCACAAATGGCAAACAGACATTGCGAGGTCAGGCTTTTGGCTGCAGTGCTGTGTTAATTTTCTCATCTCCTGGTGAAAAGCAGAAAATGATCAGACATGTTATATTGTATTTAATGAGATAATCTCACAATTTACATATGCGGGCCACAGGTTTCGCCCGCACCCAAGACACGGCACCAATTAAGACGGAAGGGACAACTTGAGTGTTCCTGGTATCATCTCTCGCTGGAATCTTTTCAGAAGCTGGGTTCTAGAGCAGGGTAGCGGCCCACCCTGCTGCCCCCAGGGTGGCTGTCCTAGGGCTGGAGGCCAGGTGTGAGCATTGGAGCGCAGAAGGCCCCACGCCCACACCAACACTGTGTTAAAAGGAAGGGGCCGCAGGACCAAACATCACATGCCAAGTAGGAGTCATCTGGTAAATGGTATGATAATTGAGTATTTTCAAATCTTGGTTTGGTCTTCTTTAAAACAAAAGGTTAGTGAATATAGAGAATATTTTAGCTAGAATTGAGTCTTCTCTTTGAAGAAAGGTTGCTTTTTATCTAGTACAAAACGTTCTGTCCGGCCACGGTGTCTGACACCTGTAATCCCAGCGTGGTGGGAGGCCGAGATGGGTGGGTCACCTGAGGTCGAGAGTTCGAAACCAGAGTGACCAACATGGAGAAAACCCGTCTCTACTAAAAATACAAAATTAGCCTGGCATGGTGATGCATGTCTGTAATCCCAGC